TGCCATTTCGCATCATAGTCGCCACTCCGAAATTTCCCTGAACCACCAGATGGCAGTCAATTTCCTTGAAACAGGACAGAAGTAATGTGGCTTGAAGTGGGGGTTGATGCGTAACCATCAGCTCGCAATAAGGTTGAAATATGTCTTTCCCAACGCTAATGCTGGATGCTGTCTGGCTACCCAAAACGCCTATTTGCAAGGTGGTGAGTAAAATGGTCGAGGTTATGTCGTCGTTACCACGACCTCAGGTCAACACTGCTGTTATTCGTTTGGAGAGTGCGAATTAGGCACGCCGCAGTTGAACTCCCATTCTGCATTAAACTCTCTTATCACACACCTTCAAGGGCATCTTGTATGTATCGCAGCCAGGACCAGGTGTTTTAGCATCTAAGTTATGCCATGAATCTTATGATTTGAATTTGTATAACTCTTAATGAGTGGCTGTGTTGCAGGCTGCCATGTATTCGACAAATTTTCAAGACGACACGTCCCAAGTCTACCCAGGAAACTCCTTCGCTATCGGAGGTGATGAGACCCTCCGAGAACACATTACTCTGGCAAGTACGTTTACATTTCTAAGGCAACGTAAGCAACTCTTTCTGAAAGTCTCCAAGTAAAATGGATCTTGCCTTGCGAACGCACAGTTTCACCAACTCATCAGCTGTTTGCGCTTATGACTTGCTTCTCTCTTCTTGGTGATAGTTTTGATTTGGGTAGACATACATTCACTCCACTCGCGCTGCCTCACGGTCAGCCTCACACTGGTCTACGGCCAACTCGAACTCAATTCCTTTGAACGCGTCGAATTTGTGTTTTTCTCTGCTCTCTCTCGTCCGCGTGGCACTCTATGGTCATTGTGACTTCGCACATTCCAGCTTTTCACGTATGATAAACGTCTCGTCGTAGATTATTGACGCCTCGATGCTTTGGCAGGCGCTGTCCTCTGTCTGTCTGCATTTCTTGTATTCGCGACAGGACCATGTACAAAAGTTCAAGATGTCACAGCCTCAGGCTTAGCGATAGGAAAACGCGCTACTTGTCCGCGCCTTCTCACTCAAGTGTTTTCTTATTTATTTATTTTTATGGAACATTGTTGTTCTCTACCTGGGTGCGCATTCTCTGCAGGATTTTCATAGTCGCAAGCGCTTGAGATCCGAGTCGGAAGATGAATGGCTCCCGAGTGTCACTACCCTTGAGCTCATTCCCGTGCACTTCTGAGCAGAGGAATTGGTGCGCTACTGCAGCATGTGGGAGTATGATGTAACACCGGAATTGCTAGTTTATTTCGAAATATTTCTCTTCAAGCCAGCATAAGTATTAAACCTTGTGACTCGCACGTGGGGTGAAAGGGATGTAAAGGGCAGCTCTTTCCTACGAAATTTGTTTTGCAGTAGTGTAGGATTAGTGGAGTCTGTAGGCGTTTACATCGGACACTGGTCTCAAACGTCTGAAAATTTATGATACCGAATCAAGTGGATCCGAATACAGCGCCTGAGGACTAACCTGACATATAGGGCTCGCTCCCTTGGTTTCGAGGGATGCTCGCCCTGCAGCTTCCTAGGGACTCTTGACTGACAGCCCCTAGGAAACTGCAGTGCAGACATCTCTGGAAGCCGAGGAGCTACGTTACGCTAATCGAAGTACTAAACTGGCTCATCAGTAATGGCGTTTTTTTTGTCACGCGAATTTTTATATGGAAAATGACAATTGTTCCCAATATGTTCTACACTGTTTGATAGATAATTTTCCGCACTATAAGGTAGTATATTGCCTTCTTACTATTCTCAACTTGTAACGATTTTCATTTTTAGAGAGGGAAATCCCGATCGACTCATAACTGAGTTTTCAACAACTACTTTTTGAATTTTATTTCGGCTGTCAATCTTGAATTTTATTTCGGCTGTCAATCTACAAAAGAAGCTGAGCTTGTGGTATATATGACCAAAGAAAGATGCGTCTTATGACAGCTTGAAGTTGGTTCAAGCGATCAAGAGGTGGGAATTCGGACCTTGTAAAAGAGCATCGCGTGGGGGCCCTCTTGGGGAGGGACTGCCTGCAGAACCTACCCACTTATTTTCGAACGTCTAACATCAACTGAGGGTGGTGGTTGATAATGATAAGGAAGCATTCTATGACCTCCAATCTTTGGCATGATTCTCAGTTAATAAGGTAATTTCCGTAAGCTCTCAGTTGGACAGAATAGGGCATTGCACATGCAGCTCAATTTCGTCGACCTGACTTTCCACTTTGAGCACTTAAAGACAGCCCCCGCGCTCGAGGAGCACATGGTCGTCCTTCCTTGTGCAAGTACAATACCGCTCCTAATTTGTGGTCAATCGACGGTTTGCGACAGATTTTTCCGTCGCAAACCGTCGTTTTGCCATAACTTCTGTAGAAGTGGTCCAAATGATCTGAAATTTAGACCATTCGATAGCCCTGTACAAGACGAATCCAATGATGTATGGACCTTCCACTTTCCTCCAATTTTTTGACGTTTTTCCCCAAGGAAATCGAGGTTTGAGTCTCCAGTAACCTAAGGTGTTACCTGCGGACACGGCTACGTCGTAAACCCTCCAGTCCAATTATGAACTTCAACCAAGTGCCCTAAAGCCGTAAATACCAGCATATTCAGAAAGAGCATGATTCCGTGATCATTTTGATACTTTTCATGACAGGGTTTCAGCAAGGTTCAGCTGAAAATCATGGTTCACTGACCACTCTTTCCTTGATTTCCGGTTTGAATCGGCTTGAGGAACAGTATCTGACTTATGGCCAACGATCCTGGAAAGCTCACATTGGCTCCATAGAATATGATGAATAGCTTGGAAGTACAATACCCGCCGTAATTGTTTGAAAAAAAAGAAAACGAAAGAACGCAGATCCGCGTTTTTTTTCTGGGTCTGGCTCTTCGCCATCCCATTTTCCACCAACTGCTTCCGATTACCAGCTTCAAGAGTTGGTGGAGAACGTGCTGACGCCGTGCCAAACTCAGCCTTCCTAACACGCCCCAGTGACTGCAGCGAAAGCGACTGTAATTCATCATGGGGAATGCGTTAACATGCTGAAACACTCTTCCGACTTTTTCTGAAACACCCACTTTTCATGAAACACCTATTACCATTTCATATATTACAGATATCTTTCGTGAATTCAATCCCAGTATTGTGGGAGCTTCTCACGGAGACAACTATGACAATAACAGCTTCAACGTAGCTATAAGTGGAAGGACTAGTTCAGATATGCCACGACAAGCGCAAGATCTCATAGACAGGATGAAAAATAAGGGAGTAAGTTGTCTTACATCGTTCATGCTACTTGAATCTAAACTGTACATTCGCTTTCGAAGATGGTCTTTATCATACACGAGGTGAATGGGCCCGCATCTGCATTACCGTACCATTTTTCTCTGTCAGAAGGGCACAGACGATGCAGGAGGATAGTGGCACCTGAGGACCGTCTCCGTACTTTGCTTGCGCTATATTGACAGTTTCAGCACCTGCGTCGATACCAGGGTTCCACAGCGAGACAGGCACTCAGCAGTAGAGAACAATCAGAAGTGATAGAGCGCAGACAGGTAGCGCGCTTGGCCATACTTAGGCGTATGGCCAGCTTTGCGGAAGAGAGGGCGGAGTATGAAGGCGGTATACGCGTGTCACAATCTTCCGGATGCGGTGCTCTGCGCTTCTGAGCAAAGAAAGTGGCACGCACTGCAAATGCAGAGCCAAAGCAGATTCCCCCCCCCCCCCCCGTCGACAAACTGCGCCCAGGTCGTCTTCCACGAAAGAACTTGAAGACAGCTTGCAGACGGAATTTCCTGAGAAGACGTCTGTATTAATCGGGTGGTCCTTGTGTGAACAACTTACAGCAGATTCCTTCAATCCCTCATACAGTACAGCGCTCAGTGCTGTGCAGCACAATCTTCTATTTCGCAGCGGAGTCTTCTCGATGGTCGAACAGTCTTTTTTTCCAGATAAGAATGGCGGAAGATTGGAAACTAATAACGATATTCATCGGAACGAATGACTTCGGAAAACTGCTATGTGTAGAATCGTGTACGTCTACCTTTTTGCTTTCATTTGCAACCTATTGCGATAATTCGATATGCTTCAGCTCTCTGTTCAAGCAGGTTTTTTGCACTTTTAATCCATTTTACGGTTAGTTTTTTTTCGTCTTATTATCTCTCATTTCCTTTGCCTTACTTTCGTCATCTTCTTCCAAGATGCATCGTGAAGGCTCATTCCCTTCGATTCATCCACAGGAAATCTGTTCTGAATTGAAAACTCTTCTCTTTTGAAATAGACTGGCGCTACACCGGTTGCGGGCATTTGAACGGTGCCATTCCTGTCAGCTGAATCGCACGAAAAATGGGAAGACGGCAGCGAGCCATCTCTAAGAGTTAACACCAACAATTTTTCCGACTATGACGTGATAGGGGTCGTTCCGCCGAGATTACGCTAGTCTACGCTTTTCAAGAAAAAAGAAGTGGGCTGAACGAACGAGCCATTTGTGAAAATTGGAAACTTGAAAAGCTAGGTCCCGGTTTTAGGTGATTCACCTATCCTGGAGCACACTCTCCCTGCTGAAAAGTTAAGGTTACCGTAGCACCACAGTGAAGGGTGCCATGGCAAGGGAAAAATCACAGACTGGGCTCTCATGCCTTGCCGATTTATCGTGTCCCTTGGCTTCAGAGGAAGTGAGTCCAATTTGTCCGCAGACCCTCTAAATGCCCCACGATTTGTAAACGAATTGGTATGCGTAACATATCCTGAAGAGAGAGTAGTCGAAAGGTAAGAGCTCTTCTTTTCATTGCATGCACATTGTTGTCCATGAATCTGCTTCAGCTTCTGCATCAGTTTCCTGACCTTTCCTTCAAATCCCATGTATTCAACCTTAACTTCAAACTCCTCACCTCCTAAAAAGTGGACCTCGGTCGAATATTCCTTCTTTCTTCGGTTTCCTAGTGTTTTCTCTCCACGTCTCCTCCTAGTCCTTCTCTTTACAGGAAACAACGTCACGTGAAGAGTACAAGTCAAAAATCGAAGAAGCGATTTCTCTTCTACGAAGTAATACGAAGCGTACGATTGTTTCAATTGTCTCAATATGGAACTCACAACTAATTTACGATGCGGCATCACTCATTGCTAGTGGGTTCGTCGTTTT